GTAGTTGTAGTTGTAGTGTAGTGGAGTGTAGTGTAATGTAGTGAAGTGTAGTGGAAGGTAGTGCAGTGTAGTGTAATGTAGTGTAGTGTAGTGGAGTGTAGTGTAGTGTAATGTAGTGTAGTGTAGTGTAATTTAGTGTAGTGGAGTGTAGTGGAGTGTAGTGTGTAGTGTAGTTGTAGTGTTGTGTAATGTAGTATAGTGTAGTGGAGCGTAGTGTAGTGGAGTGTACTGTAGTGTAATGTAGTGTAGTGTAGTGAAGCGAAGCGACATCTGAACCTCCAAAAGTGGCGCGAACATGTGGTGTTTTGTACATTTTGACTTGGAAATGTGCTTCGCGCCACAACGCCGTGCGCTTTTTCGACATCTCAACTTCCAAAAGTGGTCCGGACCTGGTGTGTTTTGCACATTTTGACTTCGAAATGTGCTTCGCGCCACAACGGCGTGCACTTTTTCAACATCTCAACTTCCAAAAGTGGTCCGGACCTGGTGTGCTTTGCACATTTTGACTTCAAAATGTGCTTCGCGCCACAACCGCGTGCACTTTTTCAACATCTCAACTTCCAAAAGTGGTCCGACAATGGTGTGCTTTGTACATTTTGACTTCAAAATGTGCTTCGCGCCACAACCGCGTGCACTTTTTCGACATCGCAACTTCCAAAAGTGGTCCGACAATGGTGTGCTTTGTACATTTTGACTTCAAAATGTGCTTCGCGCCACAACGGCGTGCACTTTTTCGACATCGCAACTTCCAAAAGTGGTCCGACCATGGTGTATTTTGTACATTTTGACTTCGAAATGTGCTTCGCGCCACAACGGCGTGCACTTTTTCGACATCGCAACTTCCAAAAGTGGTCCGACCATGGTGTGTTTTGTACGTTTTGACTTCGAAATGTGCTTTGCGCCACAACGGCGTGCAACTTTTCATCTCTCATCTGGCCAGCTGGCTCCGCACCCGCCGCTTTAGCGAGCCTACTTTTCGACCCTCCGGAGCCCCAAATCAGGAAAAACACAGTGTTTCGCGACTTTCCTACCTTTTCGCGCATCTCCATCTTCTTTCTTCTGACTCTTTCTCTTCTACTCTTCTTTCTTCTAATCTTTCTCTTCTCTCTGCCTCTTCCCTGCTCTGCTTTTCATCTGTCCACACTGTCGGAAGTTTGACTTCTAAACTTCCTTCGATCATATAGAAACCCTTAACAACTTAAGGGTTTTTGTTAATATTAATGTGATCAAAACAATAATCATTCACCCTATGTTTGATGGTCTATACCACCAATTTATGGTGATTTTGGGGATGGTTTATTATTGTTTGATCCACATTATATCCATTTATATCCACTAAAAGCCATTGATAACCTCAACTGCAACCCCCAACCATTGCCGCTCGCCAAGTTGCAGCAATTCGCGCATCTTCGTCAGCGCATCCTTCTCCGCGTGTTGAAGATTCTCCGCCACCGACAGCCTAGGGCAGCAGGCACCGGTGGCTGCAGCATTTTGCTGAGATCGTAGCATGCCCAATAAATTGAAATAGTTTATTTTCTGACTATAACCTATTTCACAAGAAGTAGTCTATTTAGATAGAATTGGTAGATTTGGGGGGGTTGAAAAATAGATAGATTTTTGAAAAACACATTTAACTAATAGTTAGATTTTTTTGAGCCTATTTCCTAGGAAATAGTCTATTTCCTAGGAAATAGATAATTTCTATTTGGGGCCAAACTTCGACCAAAGTCTGACCAAAGTACGACGCCAATGCGTGGAAATGCTGAAGGGGTTGCAAAAATCAATCTTCAAACCTTCACCAAACTCCGACCCACGCCTGCAAACAAGGGGCGAAAGTCCGACCGACTTTCTACCAAACTACGACCCCCCTGTCCCGGGAAAAATCTGCCCATTATGTAAAAATAGACCGATTTCTCAATCATAGATTTAACTAAATAGTTATTTTTTTTGTAGACTATTTTCTGTATATAGCCTATTTTGTGAAAACAAGGAGAATAGTTAGAAAATAAGGGTATCTCATCTATTGGGTGACATACCAAAATGCGCTAGGACTATGAAAGGATATATATATATAAGGAATCAGCCAACAATAACGGGAATATGTTTTGGGATATCAGAAATTTGACTACAATCATGGGATTTCTTAACGGAATGTTTTACGGGAGTGCTCATGGGAATCCAAACGGAAAATTGATGAGCCAGTTTTACATCCCGGATCAAGGTGGTGCCCCCCAGTTATATATAAGATGGTTTACAAACCCCATTAACTAGTTCGAGATACATATATATATATATGTGATTATGATATGTCTAAAAAATGAATATAAATATATATATATATATGCCCTGAACATCCATGAACCCATGAACCATAGTTAATCTAGTCATGAACGAACTTACAGTAGCTATCATAAATCGGCTATAAATCCCATGAAATCATATTTTTCTTGGTCAAGCAACATGTTCCTATGGTTTTTCGCTATGACGGGGGGGGATCAGCTTGTATGAAAATGGCTGATTTCCATTCCCCAAGGATTGGGATGACGTAAATATATGTGGCCTTCCAAACAATGAAATGTTTCAATCATAGCATCTATGATTCCACCCAAAATCATGCGAAAAATCAGCAGGTTTTTTGCGATCCCCCCACGTGTTTTTAAAGGGGGGAGGGGGTCCCATCTACCAGCTCACCATGCACAGCCGTACGGCAATTTGGGTGCGACCCCCTGGTGCTGTTTGTTGCTGGCGTGTTGTGCCGCGGAGGCCTCCGTTTTCCTGGGACAAAAAAAATTCTGGCAAGGCAAAAGCCTGGCACCTGAAGTATCCTAAAATAGTTGGATATTTTATCAACCAACTATTCTATGATAGATTTATGATAGATCTTTATTTTCTCCTGATAAAATAGTTTTATGATAGATGTTTATTCCCCGAGAAATACTTCCATAGGTTGATAGATCCATCCCTAAAAGTCAAAAATCTGAGCCAATCTGATTGATGGTTTCAACCCAAAAAAATGCTCGTCATTGGGGATCATCATCCCAAATATGAAAATATGGTTGAAATGAAACCAAATATGGTTGAAATGGTGAATTTTTGGAAAGGACATGAATAAATAAACCATGATCAATTCTTTTACCCTGGTTATATAATATCTATCCCTTATTCTGACATGACAAAGTTTGTCAACCCCCGCAGATGTTCTTCAACCATCTATCTATCGTTCTATCAATATCATGATCTATCTACCTATCCATCCATCTATCTATTTACCTATCTATCTATCAATCCATCTATCTGTTTATCTACTTATCTATCCATCCATCTATCTATTTATCTACTTATCTATCCATCTATCTATTTATCTACTTATCTATCACTATCATGATCACTATATATGACAGCGCCACGATCAGCGCCACGGCGCCACGGCTTCGCGCTTCGCCGAGCTTCAGCTGTCCAATGGCCTCGTGGATCTCCGCGCGCACGTCGCCCACCAGCAGCGCCACGGCCTGCTTCAGTAGCTCCAGGGCGTCCTCGTGACGCGCCATGGCCATGGGAGCTGGGCCGGTAGAATATCTATATAGTATACATATATATATATAAATACTCTACTATGTATGTCTTTTCTTTTTCTTTTTGTGGAAGATAATGAGTTAATATGAGTTCATCAAAAACCTTCAAATAAATCATAAACCATTGAATCTTTGGGTGTTCCCCATAGTTGTTCATAAACCATTGAGTGTTAACACTGAACAGGAAAATCACCATTTCTCATAGCTAAATCAACTATGAATATGGCCATGTTCAATAGCTGCGAAACAGATTGCAAAAGACTATTTCCATATTTTCTATACCCATGTTTGTTGCTTCTCACCAAACCTTATCCCAGTAAATCACCCAAAAATCTTCATTAATCCATTATTCATCCACTATTTATTGGTTGGTTCTACCCCCGCATCCCAAAATTACAGGAATTCCCATGGAATTCCCATCCCCGGCATCGCCACGGCTCCGTGGCGGGGTTCACCTCCTTCGGCACCGAGAGCGGCACGCCGCTGGTGTTGGCGTTGGCCATGGCCAAGGCCCGCCGCGAAGGCGCCGAAGGCGGCACCGCCATGGCGATGGGAAAGCACCACGTCGTCAGTTAAGATGGACATATCTCTGGTTGGTGGTATACTTACCCAAACATAAGGGGTTAACAGTGATGATTAGTGATGGCATAATAGTGGGATTAATAGTGGTTAGAGGTGGTTAATAGTATATATATATAACTATAACTATAACGGTCATAAGTTTGGATATGATATAAGCATAAGTTTGGTAATAATCACCATAAGTTTGGTAAACCGTTGGTAATCATCAGAACGGTAATTTACCAAACTGAGATTGATTTATAAACCACCATAAGTTTGGTAATCTCCATAATTTATATAATATATATATAACGGGACTATGGTACTGATCTCTATCAGGACTTTTCCTGTCAGGAGATGTCTATGTCTATGTTATCTTAAGACACTATTGTCTGAAACAATCTAGAAAGCACCTTTGATGGTTGAGATGGCGAGGTGTTCAGTGAATTTATTGTTCCTTCATCCGATTGTCTGATTGGTGCTGGAGAAATCTACGCAGAAAATATGTGAAACCACCAACGCGATAGTCATAGATCAGGGGCCCTGTACGATTTTGAGGTCGCCGTCATGGACCAATCCAAATTAATCCAATAGCCAATAGGTCCGATTTTCCTTGACATTCCTTGACATTCCTTGACATTCCTTGAAGCCCATCCCCAATCTGAGAGTAGGCAACGTTCCCTACATGGCATCGATCCCACTGATCCACCGATCGTCTAAGGAGGAAGCCGATCATCGGGCCGATCGAACGACAAAAACTAACTGGTTGGGATGATGAACTTCCCAATATATGGGTTATTATTCCCAATATATATATATATTATATATGGCAAAATAAAAAATGTCACAAACCACCTACCAGACAAACTACATTAAACTACCTCTTTTGCAGGATAGCAAGTTTGCGGAGACCTCGTGGTACTCAGGAGACAGCTTCTCCTCGAGGCCTTTCACCCTGCCGTGGCCAGGGCTGGCATCATATTAACCCCATGGGTTGATTGATTCCTTCATAAGGAGTTTCAGAAATACAATTCTAAATTACGGTATCCTCAGTTTTTCGACGCACCCATCTATCATATTGTTGGAGGTATACCTCAATTATATATATATATCCACTATCTTCCCATATTATGTGTGGGCACCTCTATTTTCTGCGGGCAAATCCACCATTCTCAGACACACCCCCACATAGCATTGAGTTTTATAGTTGGTTGCAAATTTGGCTTTACATCATAATTAATTATCATAATCAAATCTATCATAATCATATCATAATCGTATCATTTATGTCATAATCATATCATAATCAAATATCATAATTCTATCATAAATATGGCATAATCAATTAAATTAGCTATATATATATATATCCCAGTCTCCTTCCATGAATCTCCCATGACATCCCCATATTGTCGAAGGCCTGGCTGTGTCGAAGGCGCCGTTGCCCCAAGCCGCTGGGAGTTGGCTGGCTAAGTCCGCCCACCATTCCGGATCCTCGCTGGGACCGCTGGGACAGGGCTCCACCGCAGAAGTTGCTGGAAAAAACATGCCAAAAAACACGGAGATTTATATATATACCCTCTGGTAAACTAACATAACTATAGGAAATCACCATTTTTAATGGGAAAATCCACTATTAATGATTGATTGATAGATAGATAGATAGATAGATCGATAGATAGATAGATAGATCGATAGATAGATAGATAAATAGATAGATAGATAGATAGATTTATTTAAATCATATGTGTGTGTATATATATATACACATATTAAGGGCCAATCATTAGGGAGAGATCCGTATGTTGTAGATTTGTTTCAATGTTTGCTTTCCAGCTACTGGGCTTACATTAAGGTATTCACACTGAGGTGCATTAGTGGCTAGTGATAGTGGCCACGTCTGGAAAATCCCCCAGTTAGTTCGATGTTTTTTTCCAGTTATGTGTGTGTGTTACCAATATGCTTGCAGTGGCGGTTGAATTGGGCAGCATACCCGTGCCGCAATGATTTACGAAGTACGATGTCAGCTTTAGTTTGATCAGGGTGCCATCAAAACTGCTACAGTTCGTAAACCCAGCTGCTTCCGTCTTAAAACTCGGCGGTCTGTGTATCTAACATATGAAACTCACCAAGACCAAGAATTAGGGTCCCCAATGCTGCCTGAGCCCTTTTTCATTTCCGCGACGATTTCTTGTCCCAAACTGGGTATGTCTGAACAAAAGAGGATACCCATAAAATAGGCATGTATATGATGAAATATGATGAAAAAGATTGAAAATGCCATAAATACAACAGCATCAAGTCCAATAATGTCTTTTTGGTAAAAATAGAGGGGCCGGTTTGGTATACCATCTATCATCATTAACCTGTTCTTAAAGGGGTAAACAAACCCCTCTTTTTTCATCAACCAACCAATGGGAATTTGGGACATCTACGATCAACCCAGTTTCTGGACACTCCTGTGGGGGCCACGGGACTGTTGATGACCTTGCCGTGGGCGGCAAGGTAACTCCCGATTTCTTCTACTGCCATTCCAACAAGACCATAGCTAACCATAGCTACGAAACTTCATTTTCTGACATTCTATGTGGAATTTCTGGAATGTCTAGTGTTGATCTTGCCCCTGTGGTGCTAAAATGTGCTGAATTCATCCATTCCCTAAGGTTTGCCTGGGCCGGACTTACAGCTGCTGACCATTGGTACGGGGATGACTGGAGATATCACCAGGGCAAATCCACTGAAAGAAGCACATGCATATGACCATGAAGAGATAAATTCATGAACAAAAATCATCCACAGTCTGTATCAGAGAGGATCACTTGCTAGGGACTTGTGGAAACGTGACATTGGATGTCATGTCACGGGAGCCGGAGATGTTTATGTCTACATTCGCCACCAATCGTCTGATTCCTGAGGCATCCATGGCTTCATAGGTGGTTCAGGTCAGCTCCAACACAAGTATGCCCCCAACGTGGCGCCCTCTCCCCAACTCTACATGCAAACAAAAAATGTCTCAAAACCCAAAACACTAAATAATAGGACAGAGGTATGACATAGAACTACCAAAAGAGTTGGTAAGAGAACAGAGGAAGACCGTAAACTACATAAAAAGAAGGGGATAACATGGGATTATATATATATATAAACATCATATACGGCCATGTGCACCGAAAAATATCGTAGACCCTCTATAGACCTGAAAAAGTGGCCTCTCAGTATCCGGGCGGCTGGAAGAACAATATCAATAAACATCTTTAAAAGTTAGCCCTAAAAATCCCAAAAATGTGTTTCATTATTGGCTTCAGTTGTTCCAACTAGCTCCAATATCATACACCCTCTGGTATCCTCTGGTAAACTAATACCATGGAAAATCACCTTTTATAGCTAGTTAAATCCAATATTTCTATGGCCATTTTCACCACGGAACGTAGCCGGCTCCGGAACATCGTTTCGGTAGCCCTCGTAGCTGTCGTAGCCATAGCCGGGCTCGCCACGGGCATGGCCCGCATGGCCCTTTCCGGCCTGGAGAAAAATGATAAGACAAGAAGTAAATATATATATCATATTATATAAATATGTGAATAATATCCTATATATATATATGCTACTTATGAATAATAAACTTATGATATTGGATGATTTAGTTTTAAAATGATAGTGAAAGGTTCACTTGTGACCAACAGGCGGAAATGACCAAAGTCAAGGGATTTCACCAACAACTTATCAGCCAAGATGCTACGCCCTACAAGACACCCGTTTGTAACGGGTCGGAAACCAAACGTCCAAAAAGACAGGGAAAAATACATCCCCAAAAATTGGGAAGATAATAAATCAATAATTCATAATAATGCATAAAAACTCTCTGATTGATGTAGCTAGTTACCATTGATAGGTAAATCATCATAAATATTCTACTAAAAAAAACTACATTATGGGCCATCTAACATAGCTATATGAGCGGACAAAATTACTTACTCGCAATGGACATGGCCAAAGTGGGCCCCCTATCGGCTGTGAAGCTTTTCGCCCAAATTTGAACATCCCAAGTCTACAGATGTCTACAGTACTCTCTACTGGAGTTTCCCGTGACCACTTTGTCGCTTACTATGCTTCAATTACCAGGTAATCCAGGTATCATGATTTTTACATTTGATACATATACATGAATAGATATATATATATATAATATATATATATATAATGTTATATCCCATCATGATTCCATGATTATCCCATCAGTATCTGCAAAAAAAAATCTGTCGCGGCCTCCAAGGGCGGCCAATTTGAGCCTTTGCCCCACCTGAGGATCACCCCGAAGGGACACCGGACACAGGGGATTTTTGATCCAAAAATCTAGCTGCGTTTCAGATATTTTTAGTATATATCATTATAGTCGTTATATATCTTTAGTACATATCATGATCTCATATTTTTTCATATATCTTTAGCTGGTTGGTGGTTTTAACACCTCTGAAAAATATGAAAGTCAATGGGAAGGATTATCCCATATATGAAATGGAAAATAAAATTCATGTTCCAAACCACCAACCAGTTAGTATATTATAGTCATCCCCAGCTGGAAAAGGAAATCCCTACGAATTTCATGGTGATAAAAACTTTTCCATCGATGACTACCCTCTGGTTATTTGTTAACAGTTAGCCATGGAAAATGCAGCCATTTTATAGCTAGGCAAACCATCTATTTCTATGGGCCATCTATACCATGGCTATGTAACAAATAACCAGAGGGTATGTTCTTACCAGGACCATTTTACATCGGACGATGTTCTTCACCAAGATTCCTAGGGCCGACCAAGCCACAGTGTGAGATGGAAAAATGTGATGAAAAATTGCCAAGTGCCATGGCTAAAGCCACAGCAATACATATATCTATATATATATATATATCATGCACTTATTATATAATTATTTAGTTATGTATATATATAGTCATATATATATATATGGGTATGGGTTAAACTGGCTAATTAATGATCAAATCAGGCATTTCTCTGCATTTTTTTTAAAGTGTCACTCCCTTGCACTCTTCAGAATGTAAACAAGATATCAAGCGAAAGTGAAAAGAACCACCAGGATTTTACCATCACAGCTCAGCTACGCCCTCCACCCTCTAAGATTCTGGCGATGACATTGCGCTTTCGCCCCGAGCTGCGCCTGAGGAAGGAATTTGTTCAGCTCGGCATATCAAGGGATGTAAACAACACCTACTCCACCATAAATTTCATTGACCAAACAAGTGTTTAGTAAGCTATAAAACAATATTGACAATATTACTGGGCAAGAAAAAGAAGTGCAATCAACTATGATCAAATATTCATCATACAATATTAACCGAATAGATGCTATAAATTTAAAAAAAATAAAAATAGGTATAAACTATAAACATGGACCAACATGAAAATACTAAACCCTGATTCCAGGTACAAAATTCGGGTTCGCCGCTAATCGGGATCTTTCTCTGCCATTATCGGTATGGTCTTGTCATGTCGTAGTGATCTGATATAAAAAAAGAGCTGGCACTTGTAAGCTCCGATCTATCAAGATGCATTCAAATATCATACGAGTACACCCTCTGGTAAACTAACAGTTACTAACAGGTTGCTATTGAAAATGGCTGTTTAGTTAAAGTTGGTTTACCTACAAAAGATGGTGTTTCCACAGCTATGTTAGTTTACCAGAGGGTGTAAAATGTATAAAATATGTAATAAGGATCATGTACCCAGATCAACGACAGAGCTGGGGTGGGATGTGATCTCAAGCAGGGATGGAATTCAAAAAACGAGCTTCGCTCCCCAACGACCAACAGGCAACCGAACTCTCAGGAAGTCAGCCCGACAGTGTAGGGCTCATGGTTGGCTTAAGCTGGGTATGAGATTCCTTCTAGCTGCTGGATGACAAATTAGCGTAGTCAAGAGCTCCAGTTCCGAACAACTTCGAGTTGGGTTGGAGCTTTGCCCTTTAGTTGTTTTTGCATGTTGGTTCAAGGTATCCTTGTAGGTATCTACCTGTGCTGACCTGTGTTGGGCTGAAAAGCTCCAAGCAGACTTCCTTCCTACAATTTGAGTATGACAGTGTGCTGCGGCCAAACGAAAAAACCCAAGAGATGAAAGTTCCGCAAAAACTGGATGCTTGTGATGCACATTTATGACTTTGCGTGACCCGGGATCCTACCTGTGCTTTGGGTGAAGGGATACATTTACGTGAGGATTGGGTCTGGTAAAATTGGTTTTAAAATGGCTTTAAAATTATGGAAATCGTCTGGAAGAGGGGGGACGCACCCTCAACTTCTAAACTGAGATATTTCAATGGGGCATCTGGAACTCCAACGAACTCCTGGTCGCCCGCAGTTGCGCCCGGCTGTAACCTCATTAAAATAGCATCCATAGTGAAATTGTGGCCCAACAAGGTAAAACAAATGGTGGGAGACTGCTGTCCAAGTTCAGCACTTGGAGACACTTGTGAGGCCGAGAACATAGATTAACAATAATTAACATGGAAATCCAAAAATGGAGGTGTCTTAAGTAGGGGTATCCCCAAATCATCCATTTTTTAGTAGGATTTTCGATTATAAACGATCCATTTCGAGGTACCCCCATTCCAGGAAACCCCCTGGGAGCAGGAATCTGGCCGCGCCCTTTCGAACCGCTTAGGTCCCAACATGGGCAAGAACATCACATGGCTCAAAGGCTCATGTTAACCCATTTTTTTTTGGCCAGGGCTTCTCAGAGGATTTGCCCCACCACACTATCTCGATCCAAATAAAACCAAATAAATAGAATCAATGGAACTAATTTTATCATATTTTGTCTAATTTAAATCAAATGCAAATTGGAAAATGGAACAAAACAGAGCCATATGGTTCCATATAGTAAAGTTTGTTTTCTTGGTGGCTATACCAACATCCCATGGTCGATGCCAAGATTACCCTGTGGCTCTGGAGGTCCCCATTGGGATCATGATTTCAGGGAGCAGAATTGAAACCCACCAGCCAGTTTGATGTATAGTTCAGGGCGGTCGGTAGGCAGTGTTCCGCGCGGATGACTTAGTAAGCAGAAAAGGTAGACATAAGTACCCCCATGATAGCAAATTCTGAGGTACACTTCTGCCTACTGGGATAGCGGAATCTACCTACTGGTGTCGGGGTTCCCACCATTATGTATATAAACAGATTAAATATACCTCAGAATTTGCTATCATGGGGGTACTTAAGTGTACCTGCCATCTACCATGGAAGGTCCTGGGGGTGGCTTTCTCCCTGTGAAGGGAATTCTACGTCTTTGCTAATTCTATCAGGATTGCACCATGACTTTGGCACATTTTTTTCCGGGGAATTGGCTGTTGCACTGTTCAAAACTTTGCCCAAAGCCTTCCATGCCATACTACGCACATGAAAAAGGCCCCTCTACTATGGCAGGTCCCCAAAGGTATGAGATATCATTGGTATCGTCGACAAAGGGCTTTACTGGGGGTGGGTTTCTCCCTGTGCAGGGTTGTTTTTGCGTTGGGTCAGGCTAAATTCTGTGTCTTTGCTAATTTTATCAGGATTGCACGGTTATTTTGGCACTTTTCCCATGGGAATTGGCTACTTTCACTGTTTTCTTGCGTTGTATTCAAGCGCATGCAAAAAAATGTGAAACTAGCCCGTGGCTTTATGCTTTTGAACGTACCTGTTCTTATCAATTTTCCTTGTGGGAAACGTAAAAAAAACAGATCATTCACACAGGCATCTTGGATTTCTGGCTTTTAGCGGCTCAATTTCCCCAATCAGTCCCTGCCACTGCAAATGCCTCTCAAACGTGATTTTTCTCAAATACTGATGAGCGCCAGGAGAAGTGAGTAAATGTTTTAAAAACAGCGTATTTTTTTGGCCAGGCCCCTCATGCCGCCCTACTACGCACACAAATAAATCCATCTACAATGGCAGGCCCCCAAATGTATGAGATATCGTCGGTATCGTCGACAAAGGGCTGCAGTAAGCAGATCCACGATCTGCTTACTGGGGGTGCAAGGTTGTTTTTGCGTTGGGTCAGGCTAAATCCTGTGTCTTTGCTAATTTTATCAGGATTGCACGGTTATTTTGGCACTTTTCCCAGGGGAATTGGCTACTTTCACTGTTTTCTTGCGTTGTGTTCAAGCGCATGCAAAAAAATGTGAAACTAGCCCGTGGCTTGTGGCTTTTGAACGTACCTGTTCTTATCAATTTTCCTTGTGGGAAACGTAAAAAAAACAGATCATTCACACAGGCATCTTGGATTTCTGGCTTTTAGCGGCTCAATTTTCCCAATCAGTCCCTGCCACTGCAAATGGCTCTCATTTTGATTTTTCTCAAATGCTGATGAACGCCAGGAGTAAGTGAGTAAATGTTTTCAAAACAGCGTATTTTTTGGGCCAAGGCCCCTCATGCCGCCCTGCTACACACACAAAAAAAAATCAATCCACAATGGCAGGTCCCCAAATGTATGAGGTATCGTCGAGAAAGGGCTGCGGTAAGCAGATCCACGATCTGCTTACTGGGGTGGGCTTCTCCTTGCGCCAGGTTGTTTTTGTGCATCTAGTCTATTTTTATCAGGACTGCACCATGATTCTTGGCACATGTTTTAATTATTTTCTTGCTACTTTGAGGCTGCAGGAACAGAACAATGTTTTTTTGGATGAAATGCCGTTCTTTCACAAGGTTTTGATGGTTGTATGAATGGGTCCCCACGTGGACATGCATTTTTGTGGCAGCGCCCATCATGACGAAATCAGTTGCATGTTCACAAGATGGGGCCACGAACTGGACTGAGGTGTTGTCTATAATTACATGTCTATGCAATTCTATGTATATACTCATTATATCCTCAATGGAAAGGAGGTGCAGTAAGCAGAAACCACAAAATGTTTCGCACACATCTGAGGTACACTTCTGCCTACTACCCCTGGTTGTCCGAAACCTGCGAAAATAGCCCCCCCGACGAACATGCTAAAAACACCCCAAATCGGACACATTTTTAAGCAGTAGTAAGCACTAAATTTCACGCCTACCGGGTGACCTCAACTATAAATGCTCCAATAATTTGAAATAGTGGTAACTGGTAGGCCCGGGGGTCCAATCGGATTCGAGGAATTCTCTGGGCGTGTTGAGCCATTGCCATGTGACAGAAGATGACAGGGCCCCTACGGGGCCCTGCAACAAAACGATTCGGCGTTCACACCACACTGAGTGGTGATTCTTCAGCGAACTGCAGTGCCGATCCCAGTACTTTTGCCCTTACATAGTATGATAATATATGTTGATTGACTTGACACCGGCAAAAACTGAGTTTCAACCGGCGAAAATTGAATGTGTTGCAAAATGATCTCTAAATTTCAGCCATCTGAAACCCAAATCTCAATAGAAATGGGGCTCTGGCTGCCCATAACCGCCATAGAAGCTGATGGATCACCTGATTCTGAATCCAGAGTGGTTCTCACCGAAGTATTCCACAGATTTCAACCTTGTCAGTTCGACAAGCATGGGCCACCTCTATCTGATTTTGTGTCTGATTCAATCGGGTTTATCTGCTTGAGCGTCTGAGAGATGTGCAGATGTGTTTGGCACTGCTCAGTGGCGCCGAGCTAACTCATTCCCAACGGAATGTAAATTTCAACAGGATGGAACACGGAGGAAGAGCTCATGTCAAATCACAGCACGTTGGATTCTGCATTTGGCCCATTTTGGCCCTCATTTTGCATGATTTCGACATATATCAATGGGATATTCATGGTATAATATTTTCGCCTGTCAGTTACCTCCGAATCCCGGCGAAGGCCAGAAGCTTTTGCAATTGCAGAAGCAGTTTCGGCAGATGTCGACCATCTGCGCCTCAAAGTTCCTCACGATTGGCCATGAAGGGCCGCACTTGTGAGGAAAACAAAATGGCCACGTCGTGGTAGTTGGCCCACATCTTTCCCAGCATATGGCGACTACCCTGTTGATTTATGGCCTCCTGCACGTTTCCCCTACCCTCTGGTAAACTAACATAACTATGGAAAATCACAAGTTTCAATGGGTAAATCCACTATAATGGCCATTTTCAATAGCTATGTTAAATTACCAGAGGGTACTTAAAACTGATCAGTCTTCAATTGGGAAGATTTCCCTTGGACCCT